CTTCATACTGACATATTATCGACACATTGTCTAGAAGATTCATTGGACATTTTTTCATCACTGCCCCACGGTGTCCGTGACAGAACCTCGAGTACATTCATAGCCCTGTTCATGAGATAGTTGGTTTTGTGTCTAAAATTATGCCTCAAATTTGTGTTCAGTTTTCGCAGCCACTGACCGACCGATAAGGTTCCGGTAATTATCTATAAGAGACTTGAATTCGTGTTTTTCAAGGTGGTGTTGGGGGGTATGTACAGAGAGAAGATGGTGACAGGTTTATTCAATAGAAATGCTCGAAGAGCAGGTGCCTTTATAGTTGTTTCTAGTGGTATATGGGCACATGTTACTCCTTAATTAACAATAATGGCTACACCGGCCGACGGTGCCACAGCATGATCTCTACATGTCCTTTCGGAACATAGAGTATCGACGCAGAAAATTTGTTTTTGCATCAGTGCGTTTCCTGTACACACAGCACTTTTGGTGAATGTTTATGTACAATTTTTTAGACATCGTCGAGGTTTTGAAGCAGTCCTCTGTCGTTCCATTGTAAACTGCGGTTGTGCTAGCCCCCACGCACCACTTCGGCATATATGTGCTTCCTACAAAATGTGGAGGGATACGCTGCCTCGCTGCACGGAAAGATGTGCAGTTTGATTTTAAATGCAAAGCATTTTTAGCGAACTTCGGAGACTTTCGCCGTATCTATCTCTATCTATCTCACCGCCTACGACTTATAGCTCTCTCGGCCGTTCCGATAATGTGATCTAAACCAAAATTGGTATGGCATAACATGACTCCATGATGAGCATAAGTGACCAGTCAAAAGATGAATATAATGACATCTATGTCATGATTTAGTTGTCATCGCATTGCTGCTCTTGCATTCTCATGACATATTGCAAAACTGGTATGGTATGAAATGACTGCATTGCAAACATAAGTGACAGGCCCTAATGTGGAAATCATGACATGCATGTCTAGTAAGTCATGACTACGCGCCACGCTCCCGGTGTGCTCGTGCTCGTTTCACCAGCTTCACATATATCAAATCTGGTCCTACCTAACATGAATGCACAACGAAGATAAATGATACGTTCAAAGATGATACTCATCATATGCGTTTCATGAAAACATGGATACATGCTACACTCATAGCGCGCTCGCGGACGTCTCGCTAGCTTCTTACACGAATTTGGTGTTGCGTGACGTGAATGGCGACGAAGTATTTATTTATTTATTTATTTATTTATTTATTTATTTTACCCTCATGGTCAAATTACATTACAGAGGGGGGTGGGTTCTTTACAAAAAAAGATTTAAATGAACAAAAAGCAGTGAATACGGTTAGACCGTACAAATAAATCTTTTGAAGTACGATGTCTGATAATACAATATATAATAATACATGGTAGCTAATACAACGCGGAACCTAATTATGCAATGTTAGCTATTGCGACAAAAAACTTATTCCGGAGTGTTAGCTTATGAATCACGGGACAAGTTGTTATCGCTAATAGAAACAATGTCAGCGGGAAGTCTGTTCCATACATTTGATGCGCAGGGTGTTGCATGAAACGATGCCTACTTTGTGATGGTGGTCAATGCGGCGGGTAATGTGCTGTGAACGAAGAAGTAGTTGGTCATGCAAGATGGGATGGTGGTATATCTTGTGAAATAGTGTTAAACGAGAAACTTTTCTGTGAGATGTTGAGGAAGAGAGTGCAAGAGAAGTTTTTATGGTTGAAATGCTCATGGTTCTGTTATAATTGGACAATATAAAACGAACGGAGCTATTCTGAACAAGTTCAAGGGAAGTTACCAGATTATTATAGGTGTGGTCCCACATTATAGTTTAGGGTATACTAGTGTTTTATAAAGCAGCAGTTTTAAGCCATGTGGAGCGTTAAAAAAGTTACTTCGTAAATAGCCAAGCATGCGGTTAGTATTGTTAATATTATATTCAATACGAGGTGACCAGTTGGGTTTGTTGCTATGTGAATTTCAAGATACTTGTCACAGTTAACAGAATCCAAAAGAATGTTATTGAGATAGTAAACCCGTGAAGTAGTGCAAGTTCTTTATACACGCAAGATTTTACACTTTTTTAATGTTTAGTTCCATTAGCCATTTTTCACGCCAGTTAGATATAGCGTTAACGTCAGACTCCAATATATTAATGTCATTATCGCTATTAATTTCTCGAAAAGTAACACAGTCGTCAGCAAATAGTTGAATTTTCGATGATACAACTGATGACAGGTTATCAATATAAATGAACAACAGGGGGCCTAAGACGGGCCCTTCTGGAACACCAGAATGAACTTTGCGAAAAGAAGAATTATGACCGTTTGCAGTAACGAATTGTGATCTGTTAGTGAAAAAGAATTCAACCCACATTAGTAGATTACCGTCAATATTTAGTTGGTGTAGTGTTTAAAGCAGCACTCTATGGCAAACATTGTCAAAAGCTTTTAAAAAATCTAGAAAAATACAGTCGGCATGGGATTATCAAGGATTTGATGTAAGTCATGGTGAATGATACAAGCTGTGTTGCACATCGATATGTTTTACTGAAGCCATGTTGTGCTGACGTGAAAAATAAATTTGATTCTAAAAGTTGACTATGCTCATAAATTTTAAATGCTTGAGGATCTTACAACAAATACTAGTTAAAGAATTGGGACGATAATTGTTCGAAGAGTGTTTATTACGAGATCTATGTGGAGTGCAACGATTTCCCGATTTTCCATTGACTCGGAATACTACAATTATTTAGTGACTGTTGGAAAATTTTAGTAAGTATAATGAAAGTGCAAGCGCTAGTACTTTCCAGAAATTCGGCGTTAATAACATCATAACCAGGAGATGAATCACTCCTACGTGATTCAATGAGGCGTACAACTCCAAGATTTTCAACAATCACGGATGACATGGGCAAATAATTGTGTAAAGCCGGACTAGGTAAATTATTACGGCTATCTGCGGACAAGTTTTTGATAGAAGAATCGTTAGGAACAGCAGCGCAATGGGCTTCATTGATTTCGTTACCAGATGAGTCAATCAAGAAAATATAGTTGTCGGTTGGGGGTTAATACCTCGCCAGAATGTTTTTGCATTAGTTCGCAACATAGACGGCAAAACTTGAGTGAGAAGTTGGCTTAAGCGAATTTCAGTGCAGATATGTAAATGGATGATGCAGATCTATTGGCAGCCAAGCGTGGGTGGTTAGCAGGTAAACATCTTGCTGCTCGATAAAAACCTTCCTTTCGGTTAGATAAGCGTTTGATGTAAGCGTTGTGCGGTGGCGCACATGCATTAGATGTGATGGTACGGCAAGGGATATACTGACTAGTTAGTCGTTCAACTTCAGCTGCAAACATATCTCAGTTAGACTGTACTAAACGGGTATCAAAGCTGCTTACAAATGTGTCTACGAAAGTTGCTGGTTCACTGTTAATCAAGTCAAAGTTTGCTTTTGTATAGTTCCGTATCGTTTTCTTTTTTATCTCTATTTAGACAGGATGCAGGTATCGAGTTGCTATTTTGATAGGGAGTGTTTTAGATCCCGAGATAAGGATTCAGTCTTTGTGGGAATGTTTTTGTTGTCTCTTATCGTTATGCGTTGCATCTGGATGACATTCTAATCTTTCCAGCCTGTCAAGAGTTTTTCTGTAAGATCCATCAGGTCACCATCTGACATGACACCCGTCATAGTGATGGGCTGATCACCGAATGCCTTTAGGTCATCTCTGGCATTTGAAGTATTCTTTCAATTCTGACATGAGGTCACCATTGGCGGTCTTGGCGAGTTTGTAGCCCGCGCCTAGCGGTCAATAAGACACTTGAACACAAGAAAGGTTGAAATGTTTCTTGCCTTCTTTTCTGCACTGTTGGCAGGAATCATGTGGTATTTAATAAAGTTGTCCTTTTTTCGTGGGGAGGAATTCAAAGATTACGTCAGTCCGCCACCTCTATCAGGGACGATCAGTTCGTTGCGGGTTAGGGGATCCCATCATTTGTGTTGCTTATTCAGTGGCCATGTGAGCCGCCCACCACCAAGCCCTACAAGGGGTCGTTACGAGACAAGGAGGAAACGTAAGCGCCAACTCTGCACGGTCACTATAACCTGATATAACTACCCAATATTGGATGTTTACACAAGGTTAGTCCTAGCCGCCGAGAAACGAGGAAGTAAAAGGAAGTTAGCGGAAAACAGGTAAAATAAAAAGTGAGAGAGAAAGACGAAGATGAGGATTGAGAGAGGCAGGTAAAGGGGACTGCCGACTTCCCCTAGGTGAGACAGCCCAGGGGCGCCGTCAATGTGAAGCAGAGGATAAAGAAATGTGTTGGCTCTGCTGGGGACCTTAAAGGTTCAATCACCTGGCGTAGGCGCAACCCCGACGATCCCCTTTTCGCCTGGTACGGCTTAGCCACGCATGGCTACGCGTGAAAAGAGATCATCCCCCCCCCCCCTCCCGTTAGCTCGGGTTCGTGGTGTCGCTACACACCAAACGGGGGCAACTACGGTCGATTTCACTAGGCATATTACTTGAACATGAAGTACAAATTTCTTTAAAAACTTTCCCACTAATATTTCAAGAACGCGAGCTGGTGGATAAAGTGGCCAGCAGTTTCGAGCAATCTTCACGTTGCGAGCACGCACGCGCCAATAGTGGCACCTGATTCCTCTATCTGACGTCACACGTGAGAGGGCTCCACTCAAAAATCTCACAGCGAATATCTCTCTTCCACGCCATACCGGAAGTAAACTGCGCTTATATACACGATGTTCTGCAGAATATACAACGCCGCCATTAATAGGGCATTGTGAATGGCATGTCAAAAGGTTAATGTTAGTGCTATCAAATACATTCACGTCTACATGAATAAGCTCACATGTAGCACAGGAATAAAAAGTAACGGAGTTAATGGATAAAAAAAAGGTAAGAAAGTGTGATAGCTGTACAATGCGCAATTGAACCTGCTGAAGTACTTACTTGGACTGGAGGTATTTATGACACCTGTGAGGAAAGACTCGAAGTCGTTGGTGCCGTCTTTCAAAGCTTTTCTGGGTATCCGTTCAAGAACTCTGTCCAGAAATCGTTGGTTTTCCTCCTTGCTGTAAGTTGCCAGGTCACACCGTTGTGATGACCCCATGTTACATGGCTCAGAGAGCGTAAAGAGATTGTCCGTCTCGCAAGTCGACTCGTCCAGGCCCTGCGACGCGGTGTGGCCCGAAACGTCTGCTGTCAGCTGCAACACATTATCAGTAAATGTTTTGCACATGAGTACACAGTTCGAGTTACTCAACTGCTGTATATCGCACAACTATATTGGTAAGCTCTCATTACAGGACTTTCCCCCTTGAGTACTATTGTTGCCAACCCCTTTCAAGCGTCATGTACCTTCCAGTGGAGTGAATTGGCGCTACCAAGAAAAATTGGAATAGAAATCGCGTGCGACAAAAATTGGCCGACAACAGAAAGAGTTAGTGAAAATTTGTGGACTTCTAAGCTCCGAAACTAAGCTATGATTATCAAGCCGGGCGTCACGCGGCAGTAATCGGTAGGGATGCAATTACGCGGCAGGAATCGAACTTGCCACTTTGGGTTAGCAGCCGAGCACCGTACCTGCTGTGGAAAGAGTGCACGGCGTAAGCGCGCATTTATGCAGTTTGCCACCAATCAGAATGCGACCAAGATACAGCAGACTACCACCTCCATAATCAGCAGCGGAATGTCAAATCCATTGACACATCACCTATTTTCAATTAGTCGCACGCTGCCTTGTTCATGCATGTGAAGTTAAGGGACAAGAAGGGAGCAAGTTGTGTCAGACAACAAACGTAAGTTAAAGACTCTTTATAGTCGAAGTCATAAAAAAATACGGTCAGGACATGACGCGAGAAAATAAGATAAGCGCCTGCCAGGAAGTGTTAAAAAATTTGGCCCCGTATCTGCATGTTACAATGCAAATTTTGTCGAAAGACTATAGTATCACGTCTGGAGAGAGTGAACAAAACGTTTATTTGATGTTCTGCGCAAGAAAATCGGTGAATGGTATTCTGGAGGCGCTGCGTTAGAGTGCCTCGAGTGGGCAGCGGAGGCGAACGAGTGCATCAAGTCACGCCACACGTGATACATGAGCGCTACCTGGCAGTTATCTTGGAAAACGAAGCGCACGGCGTGCGCGCCCGTCTCGGAGGCGATAAGGTGTAGAGCGCAAGGCGACGGGTAGGTGCCACCACCGTGTCGTCTTAGCAAAGCGTTGGAAACACTTGCCTTTTCGTGCAAGCTTTGCATTTTCTGCCTTTGTATGCCTTTTCTAGTATGTATGTATGCATTTTCTAGTAAAAAGACACACATACATAATATTGACATGTTGTTAGAGTGGCACATATATGCGCAACAATTGCTTTTTAATTGGCAATCGCACAAATATGAACGCTGAACTTTGAGCAATATTGGTGGGCGCTGCGGATGGGGTCGGCCATTTGGGGTATTGTTTGGTGCCTTTTGGGGTATTGTTAAGGGCGTACAAACAGACAATTGTACAGACAGACTAATAGACAGATATACAGATCAAAATTTTTGCGTCGAAATTTCGAAACAAAGACAATCGTCTTTAAAAAGTACGCACACACTGGGGGGCTGGCACTTTCCGCGTGCTGCTCACCATTCCCTCGACCTCGCTTTTCTCACTTTCTCCCAAGGAGCGTCACTTATTCTCTGCCGCTGACTGAATCGCTCTCTGCGCTAGTTTTGTCATGTCCACTACCTTTTGCGCAACAAACCATGAATGAGAGCCTGATTTCTCATTTCCTTTTCTTCCTCTTCGCACGGGTGTATGCGGATGTCTCTCACGCCACTTCTCTCCATCTGATGGTGAGGCGGAGAAAAATCTTATTTGAACAAAATAGTTTGGAGTACGCAGCCTCCTGCGCGCCCGCGTGATCCCGCTGCGCTCAAGCGTTCATTTTATGGTGGTCCATAATGCTGGCAGCTCAGTCCGCAGCCACTGTCTGCTAAACTGGGTCCTCTGTATGCAGTTTCTCCCTGTCTTCCTAGGTCTTGAGGTGTTCTAGGGCCTGCGGGGGAGGATCCGCCGAGAAGTGAGAAAGGATCTTTATAGCAGAAGCATGAGGTTCAGGGCAGACAGTACAAGCTGGCGTTAGGAAAATGGGGGGGGGGGATATTGCGATAAAATGAGGAGGAAGTGTGTGTATCTATTGGCGAGAGTGTGTGATCCACCATGACAGCGACGGCTTCATCCCCCACGCAGGCTGCGTCCACCCCTACGACGTCTGGTTCGGTATCGTATAACATCGGTGCAGAGTTGTAGCGTGAGCTTGGTGGCGTTTATTGTGGTGGTTGGAATGCATGTTACTTACTGGTAAGTGGTGTAATGAGAAATTCGCGGTGCAGGGATCTTGGTATGGGGACTCATGCCGGATCATTGGCAGGTGTCTGGATTCCAAGAGAATGCAGAATGTGCCATATGGGTCGGTTTGTGTGAAGCGAAGACATTGTGCTTGGCGGTGCGCGTATATGAGTTCCCCGATAGTGTTGCCTGGCTTAGGAAGCCGATCGATGGGTGAACTTATGGGAAGGTGGACGCCTACTTTGAATTCCCAACAGATGAGGGCAACCAGGGCGTCAGTGTCTCGGTGAGGGAATTCAATGTATTAAAGCAAGCGTCTGGGTACGAATGCATGAATGAAGTGACATAGGTCACCCTCGTTGATGCCGCTGTGGCGGCCCCAGAGACTGCGGATGAGGTGTGAAATCGCTCCTACAACCTGTTTGAGGTTCCGTATTGGGATAGTGTCCTTGCCATGATTTGGATAGCCTTGCCCAATAACCGTAGGGGAGAAGCCTAGAGCAAACAGCGAGCCCATGGGCGCGCGCGCCTCGATATCTGTACTTTTGTATTCGGTTCTTTCGCTGCGCCGGCAATATGGACAGCATGCACGCGCTGCGTGCCGAGCGGACCTGTCGAAGAGGGCGACAACAGCGCCAGTATGCGTGTACTTTTACACACTGGATTCCGAAAGCTCTCAACAACCTTAGAGGGAAGTAGAAAGGTTTGATGGGAAGATAACATGACATTCGAAAGTTAGAGGGGATAACACAGCACCAGCAAACACAGGACCGGATAAATTAGAGAGACATGGGAGATTCCTGAAGTGGCCGCCGTCAGGATGGCGATCATATTGTTCGTATGCGCTTCCCATGCCCTTAGTGTGGTTTCCGCCACGCTTTTCCAGTGCATTCTGCGCTGCATGAACACGCAAGCGAGATTAATATTGCGCGCCTTCGAGCTGACAGAGTACAAGCTCCCTAGCTTATGCGCAATATAAAGGCATAACATATACGCTACAGGTGCAACGCACTTTCTAAATAGTGTGAAGTACGCCACCATTTGCTTCCACAAAGTATTCCTTCAAGACACTGTTCGCCTGCTTATGCAAGTCTTGTCCGCAAAAAACTACTATGGACGCTCGGTTAAGTAGACAGGGCTTCTTCAAAAGTTTAGCCTATCCTTCAGAATAGGCTAGGAGGCTGGGTGAACGATGTCAGAATAGATAAACAGAGCAATCGGAAAGAAGTTTGGAAGAGACACAGTCAACCCCATAAAAAATAAGAAGTGAAGGATCAAAGTGAGACATGGGCATGCATTTAAGGGCATTGAAGTATAGAAAAAGCGAAACATCGGTGATACGGATGTCGCGGAGTCATCAAACATATTCATGTCAGCAAGAAGCATGGAAAATAATATTCCACGAAAGAAAGCTGGTGCACTTTGCAGTAAAACTGATAGCTGCGCGAGCTGGTGTGTATCGATATTTTTAACTTTAGTTAGCGCGCACACAACACAGGGGAAAAAAGAGAAAGAGTGCATCTTTCTTGTCCCTGTGTTCTGTGCGCGCTAAACAAAGTTAAACATGAGCTGGTGCACGTTTTAGTTCATAGTTGCTCGGGGCCACAGCAATATCATCAACAACTCTTAATAATTTTCAATAAAGTTTTTAGTTGTCAACGATAATACTTGTATATGGCGCATGCAGGCGTGTGAAAGAAAGTACACGATGTGTTGCGACCCGTCCCAGCTAATAGCCTCTTGCAAATCGTAGTAGGCTTTTTCGCTCAACGCCAAAGCACAATGGCAAAGGTGACCAAAAGAGCTCTTTGCGCGCGATTGGTAAAGGCCAGAAAATTTTATAAGCACACGTTATTTCATTATCGTGGTTGTGTTGGAATGTTTTTCGGAAGATTTGTGGCTGTGCTCGCCCAATAGGAAGGTTTGTTCCACATTCCGGAGTCTCCTGATCAAACCGGAGTGTCGGTGGGAGAGCGCGTGCATGACCGCGCTTGGGTTCCCATGCTGAAACGTGATTGCCTTGTCTACCGCAACAGCAAGGGGCAACGCGTAATCGTACCTGCGCGATAGCTTGCGTTTATATCAAACGTTGCGGGGGGACAAGAGGTTCGCAACAACTGCACTACATTACAGTGTAGGCTAGTGGGCTTTGGCTGGGAGAAGAAAAAAAGTGTATCACCACGAAATTCCCACGAGATGGGATCGTATCACCGAGGTTTCATTGTAGAACTGAAAAAAATGATGTCGACGTTTACGGAAAATTGAAAGTTAGCGCTGGTTGGTACTTTTCTAACAGCAGAATATTGACCACCACGAAATCAAAACCGAAAAAAAAAAAGAAAAGCAGAGTGTTGCTTTAGAACTCAAAAGCTTCGTTTCGGCGTCGAAATAAACTGTCCATGTTCTTAGGCGGCCCTAGTGCGTTGTCCAATGCTTTCATCCGTACTATGCTTCATTATATTGAGCGTTCAAGCGCAAGCATGAAAGTGCTGGAAGAAAAGCGTATGAAAGGCGAGGAACGGAAGGCAAAGAAGGACAGCACATGTGCACTCTGTGCTCGCACTTACCAAAATTATTTTGTGTGACATAATTGACATTGAATAAATAAATGCTCGCTTTTCACCTAATAAACGCATGCACAGAGCATTTGCAAAATTTTATACTTATTTTTTTAATATCACGATGCCCTTTTAAGCACTATTCTGCTGTAATTTTTTTTTGTGCGAATGTCATGGAGCGTGCTTGCAATGATAAAGAAAGCTCGAAATTTGAGGGTGGAAAACTCAAGCTGAGTCACACGTCACCAGTAAAGCGCTTTACTTGTGATGAAAAGTGGTAGCCTAATCATTACGTAGAGAAGTCGGTCAGTATGTATACAGGCTGCGGTAAGCTCTCAATTCAATCGCATCGGATGCAAGAATTCACCTCAGTGGTCACAGGGCAAGATGTGCTTCTCACCTTCTTTCTTAAGGGTAGTCTGCGTGAGTAGAGTAGAGGCGGCGGCGTAGCCGTGCCGATTCCCGACAGCTCGAGATCCCCTAGAAAGGAGTCTAACGAGAGTGACCGGGCTCGGAGCAAGCAGGTAGTGTCTTCTTTCCGGGTCTCCACTTCCTTGGCTGACGCTTCCTCCGATTCCTCGGCGCACTTACAAAGAACAGGAACGATATGTTATTGCCCCATTCCACTGGTGAACTTCAGAGTTGACATAAATAAATCACGAGATTTCACGTGCCGGAACCACGATTAGATTACGAGACCCGCACAGTAACGAAGTGAACCCGAATGAAGTTTTGGCCAGCTGGGGTTCTTTAACCTACACCTAGTAGATCTAAATACGCGGGTGTTTTGCATTTCATTCATATAGAAATGCAGCACTGACGCCATCGCGATTAGCCGAGTAACCTCATAGCCATCAAGCCACCTCCTCGCGAGACAAAGAGGTGACCCTCGGCCAACTCAAAACGAGCATTTTCTCTAATCGCTGCATCTAAATAAATCTAACCATGAGCACTGCGCACTCTGCACTTGCAGCGGTAGCGCGCCAATCACTTTCACTGCTACAGCGGATTCCGCCATAGCAGGGATTATTATTATTACTTTGTTGCATTATTATTACTTTACCTGGTCTTGACCCTGCATGCAGTCGTTCCACAACAGAGCTGTGGCACGATGACCTCTGCGACGGGTCACGCAAAGTGACTGAGATCGTTATATATAAACCTCGGACTTGTTCTAAGCACTCTTATTTTACTTTTATGTATGACAATTGTATGAAGAGGCTCTCTCTCTGTCTCTCTTATACAGGAAATTTACTGCAACAAGTAACTCTGTCATGTAGACGGTGCAAAAAGGAAGCAGGACAATACTGTAGCCACAACAAATAACTGCACCGTGCATGTGACTATGCGTCAAGCAGCGTCCTACAGTGCCCCATAAGTGTACTGACTCCCACCTCCCCGCGCCCCACAAATTTTAAAAAGCAGTGAGCGGTGCCGTGTGCTCTGGCTGGCCATATTTATCCACGTACTGCCGGCACCTGGCCAATCGCATTCACTTGCATGTTAACGCTATTGTGCAGTATCACTTGTTGTCAAGTTAGCTAATCAGCTGATGTTGGCTAAGTGATGGCTAAAGTCGTTTTACGGTGGCGAAATACGACTTCTGCCGCGTAATGTCGCTGTATACTGATGCCTAGCGCTGAAAAAATGAGGCCTAATGCGTGCCGGTTGGCGATACATTGGTTAGCTGATACAATCAAATTATTTTCACGTACATTGACAATTTCTCAGTATAGTGAGTTTCTGCCAAATACTTTTGCTTCACTGCGGCATCGAATTCAATGCCAAGTAGCAGCGAAGGTGATATACATTATAAGGGCCACTACTTGGGCAGCCCTAGCGAATCAGACACAATCTAGAGACATATCACGCTAAATAATGGCTAAGCTGTACAAATCTGCGTCCCTCAGGCAGTGACGACTAATGTCTTACACAGCTTTGAAAGTCACGCATGTTCAAGTGACGCCCCGCCGCGGTGGTCTAGTGGCTAAGGTACTCGGCTGCTGACCCGCAGGGCGCGGGTTCGGATCCCGGCTGCGGCGGCTGCATTTCCGATGGAGGCGGAAATGTTGTAGGCCCGTGTGCTCCGATTTGGGTGCACGTTAAAGAACCCCAGGTGGTCTAAATTTCCGGAGCCCTCCACTACGGCGTCTCTCATAATCATATAGTGGTTTTGGGACGTTAAACCCCACATATCAATCATCAATCAATGTTCAAGTGACGATGAGTACGCCATGAGCACGTACCTTTATTTGCCGCACATATTCCCAAACATCGAACTTGTCGGTGTTCGAGGAAGGACCCCGTCCTGCATGCCCGCCGTGGCTGTCCATTTCGCCGTTGTCGTCACTGAGGCCACCCATTTCGTTGACTGCGCATAAATTATATTAAGAACTTGCTTATCTGGAAATATTTACCAGTCACAAGCGGCAGTTAAGGGCCGTTCCACGCGCTTCGCGCGCACAGCCGCAACGCACGTGCCGGGACCCCTACCGCATGCAAGCGGGGGACAAATAAGCCAATTGGCGACGCACTTTCACCCTCCGCAACACGCATATATTTTGCATATGCATCTCATACTAGAAAACGCATACATAAGTAATTTGAAGGACCGCAGCGCTTATCACGCTGCGCTTACCATGCAACGCTTGCACGAAACGGGGAGTGTTTCCAACGCTTTGCTAAGACCAGATGGTGGTGGCACCGACCCACCACCTCTGAGACAGGCGCGCATGGCCACGCGCTCTGTTTTACAAAAGAAACTGCCAGATAGCGCTCATGTCTCACGTGTGACGTGATTTGGTGCGCTCGTTCGCCTCCGCTACACGCTGGAGGCACTCTAACGCAGCGCCTCGGGAATGCCATTCACTGATTTTTTTGTGCAGAACATCAAATAAATGTTCTGATAACTCTCTCCACTCGCAAGACTATCGCCTTTTGACGACATTTGCAGATTACATGCAGATACGGGGCCAATTTTTCAACACGTTTTCATCTAACCACACATGTATACGTTCGTTGTTTTACTGAATTATTGATAGCTAGCTTGCACTGTGAATGAGTGAATAAACTTTATTTAACCAGCGGATTGAGGCGTGGGCCCTAAGCCGCGCCAGGGGCGGTGGAGAGACCCTGTCTCTCAGCCACCTCCCGTGCTCGCTGGATGGCCCATATTTGATCTGCCCGATCTGAGCTGATCAGCGCGGCTCTCCACCACGCCCCAACCTGTTCTGGGTATACTGCAATGGCGTCCTGTATCTGTGCGCATTCCCATAAAATGTGCTCTAGGATGGCGTGTCTCATGCTACATAGCTTACACGAGTCATCGGGGTATAGTTTGGGGTAATGCGATTTAGGTACTTCGAGTTGGGAAATGTTTTAGTTTGAAGTCGCCTTTAGTCAACCTCCTGAGATCTGTCTAATGTGGAGCTAGGTAGTGCAAATCTGTGCCTCGACTTTTGGTAGAATTGGATAATGTGGCAGAACCTAAACATTCTGCCCCTCTCCCACCACTCCTCTCCTCCCGGTACCTCATATGAAGCTCCATCGCGAGTGCGGTAAGTGAGACCTCGCGCTACGCGGTGGGCTTCCTCGTTGATGTTGGCAATGGGGCACACACATGGGGTGTGGGCTGGGAACCGTAAAATATACCTTTCTTCGAGTTCCTCGGATGATATCAGATATGCCTTGCGAAGAAGTATGTTAGTTGCCTCGGGAGATATTTTTCCTTGTCCATAGTTACGGATTACCGACTGCGAGTCGCTGATGACATACCTACACTTTGGTGAAATTGTGACCTGTGCTATAGCCACCTCTTCCGCGATTTATGAATTATCAGAGCGTATGAAGAACGCACTTACGCATTTGCGGTCGGTGTTTATTACGGCCACAACGTAAAATTTGTGACTAGGGTACTCTGCTGCGTCTTCGAACAACGCCTCCTTGTCTCTGCCGTAGGCCTTAAGTAGAGTTTTGGCTCGGCTTTCTCTTCTGGCCTGATTAAGTTCGGGGTGCATGTTTTTGGGGACCTGGATATTTTCTCTAATCACCTTTGGAACCAACACTTTACTTCCTTGTTGGCTATGGCAATTTATCCCCAACTTGTCAAGGATACTCTCTCCTGTGCGCGTGCTGGCTAGTCTCTGCAACTGGGCAATCTGTTGCGCTTCTATCAGCTTCTCTAAAGTATTATGTAAGCCCAGTTGAAACAGTTTTCGGTGATGGTGCTATCGGGAAGGCCTAAAGCTTGTTTGTACGCCTTTCGTATAAGTGCATTGATCTTGAGTTTTTCTGCTGTATACCAGTTTAGATATGCCGCTATGTATATAATATGACATATGGCGAATCAAATAAGCCTGATGACGTTAGCCTCTTTCATGCCCTCGTGTTTGTGACTCTCTTGATTAGCCGTATTGCGTTGGTGACTTTGGTTACTAACCTCTTGACGGTTTTGCCGTTTGTACCCTTAGACTCGATGATGAGTCCAAGGAATCTGATTTGTTGCACTATAGGAATAGTCCTGCCGTTTTTAGTGTGAATTTGGATCTCTTAGTAAGCACGGTCCTGGTTGTATCCCTTGGATGGTCTGCCTTTAAGCGTGGGGTGATAGAGGAGGATTTCGGATTTATCTGGCGAGCACTCGAGGCCAGTACCTTCAATATACTCCTGGATAGTGGTGATGGCCTCCTGTAGCCTCTGCTCTATCTCTCCGTCACTACCTTCACACACTCAGATGGTGAATTTCATCTGCATATATAAAATTATGTACTCCGTATAGTGAGTTAAGCCGCGCTAGGAGTCCTATCGTTATGAGATTAAATAGCATTGACGATATGACCGAACCCTGTGGGGTACCAGCACTGCCCATGAGCCTTTCCTCAGATATCCATTCTTACATTACGATGAATGCCGTTGTGTCTTTTAGGGAGTACTTCACATAGTTATACACTCTCGATCCTAAGCTTAATTGGCAGATCTGATGTAATATTGCCGTATGCGATGCTTTGTCAAAGGCTTTTGTAAGGTCTAATCCTAAGATCGCTCGGGTAGATCTTGTTCTGTTGTCTAGAATCTGCTGCTGAATTTGCAGCATGGCGTCTTGCATGGAGAGCTGTGTGCGGAACCCCAAAATTGAATCTGGGTATATTTCGTTCTCCTAAAGATAGGTGTTGACTCTGTCTAGAAAAGTGTGTTCCATCAGCTTTCCAGAACAGGACGCTAGTGATATGGGGCGTAAGTTCGATAGATCGGCGGGTTTCCCTGGCTTGGAGATAGGGTTTCTTTTGGCTTTTTCCTGCTGTTTCGGAATAGTTCCCTCGGTCCAGCACCCCTTAATATATTGCGTGATGTTCTTATGGCTTGGTCGTCATAGTTCCGTAGTGTTCGGTTGGTGATCCCGTCTGGCCCCGGTGCAAAATTGATGTTGCAGAACTTCTGTAACGCAGCCCTGATTTCAGCCACGGTAAACTCCTCATCTAAGAGCTCGTTCGGGCCTCCGGTATATGGTCCGTGCTCTATGACGGGCATGGCGGGAATGTACGTGTTGCTAACCTCAGTGATAAAGTCCTCCTCACTGCCATTATACCGGTGTACCAGTTTACGCAAGCTTTGCTTGTGTGCTGATTTGGTGTTATCTGGATATAGCACATGTTTGAGCATGTGCCATATCTGGCCAGCATTTATTTGGCCGTCGAGACTGTTACAAACTTGGTCCCATTGCTGTTTGCTTGCACTGTGTATCATATTCTTTTTTTTCTGTGTTATTCTTTTGCGTACTACTATTTAATATTATAGAGTGAGTTACTAACTCGCCCGGCAGTACTGGGCGCGAGGACATACCGTGGCGTCACCATGTGGCAGCATCCTTGTGACGTGCGTGGTTGGATGCTCCAACACCCTCTCGTGCGCAGCCCGCAGCCACTTATTATTATTAGGGTGCTTCACTCAACGAAATCAGTAAAATACTGCTACAGCTTCTTCCCTGACTGCACGAAGTACTAAATAAATGCGCTGGAAAAGTGTTACACATCTCGTAATGCCTGACTGCCAGCGTAGTCTGCTAAGGCCACATACAGGGTGTCCCACGTAACTTGAGCCAGAGTTTAAAAATATGCCAGAACATGTAATTACGATGCGGCCAAACGCATGTTGCTCACCATTGCCTGGAGTTAGACTATTTTTGTGTTCTCAAATATTGTTTATTAGAGATGTTTAATTAAATATTTTTCAAGAAACAAAGATAGATTTAATTGTCAAAAAAAGTTGTAGATCGGTTTGCAAAATGTACAAATAGACAGTTTTGAACTCTATATCTGTTAGTATTGTTTTTGTGCTAATCAAAAATGCCCGCGAAATACAAAAAATACCACGTGGCAAACCCACTCATGCACCAGTGCGCGCAATGATTCTAGAGCTCCATAATGTTCCGCGTACGAACGACCATAGCATTTGCCCCATTGTGCTGTCTCGGCGGGGCCGCAATAATGATGGTGGCATTACGATGAACACGTTTTGCTATCGACCACAAAAACAATAACCGCTGTAAGTGCTTATCGCTGGCATGATCCGATGCGAGGGAAACGTGTCGTTCGTACGCGGAACGTTAGGGAGCATTAGAAACATCGTGCGCATTGATGCGTGAGGGGGTTTGTCACGTGGTATTTTTTGTATTTCGCGGGCATTTGCAATAAGCAGAAAAACACTAATACCCAACAGATATAAAGTTCAAAACTGTCTAATCGGACGTTATGCAAACCGATCTACAACTTTTTCTTCGACATTTTTATCTACCTTCATTTCTTGAAAAGTTAGTAAATAAACATATCTAATTAAACAATATTTGAGAACACAAAAATGGTCTCACTAACCCCAAGCAACGGTGAGTAACATTCATTTGGTCACGTCGTAATTACGTAATCCGGCATATTCTTAAACTGGCTCAAGTTACCTGGAACACCCTGTATATCAAAACCATGGGGGTCAAACACGTTGCCTCTGTAAATGGTACGACTCATTCCGTGTCGAATTGAAGCATCGAAGGGGTACTAACTGCAAAAAAAAACTAATCTTGGCTGCAAGATATACGTGCAACCATGCTATTTCATTCAATTGTAGGTTTCCATCTAAACACGGGTCGTGGTTGGCATGACATGTATGCGCAAATTACATTTTTATGTTACACACATAGTTCTACGAAGCACAGCGCAAGCAGAATCCCCGCTTCATGGGAAGAAACGCAGCATTACAGCTGCAACTTTCCTGTTATGATTGCGGGCAAACGTGAGAATCGCACACGTGCGTGCCTCCTTCAGAGCTCAAATTTTCTCAGCGGCATAATCCTAACATTTATTGCGCAAATTATCTGCGATGGTC